GGCAGGTAACCGGGAGAGACAAGCTCCTGCAGGGCCTGAGTCAGTGCAGCTGTCTCCGAGCAGGATGAATCACCATCCTCATCCCAGCTGACAGCACTCTGAGCTCAGGTGGCAGCTCTGGCTCCTTCCCTGACAGCAGATAATAGGCAGCCTGTCCTCCAAGTCCATTTTCCAGCAGAGATATAGAAGGCTTTTCCAAGTTGAAAATGAGGTTTTTTTGTTGGCCAGGTGGGAGCTGGCAGCACAACGTGGCTGGGGCAGATCCTGGGAATCAGCCCCGTGCTGGGGCAGGAGTTCCCCCTGCAGCCCTGGCAGCTACAGAGTAAAAGGGATGGTGAATTTATGGAATTCTGCTCCTCACCTGTGGTTTGGGTACTCCAGGAAGCTCTTTGGGCAGACACACGAGGATGGAAATGGCAGATTTGATTAAATTGGTTATATTTTCATTTAATGCTCCACTGCAGAGCTGTGAAGGGGAGCCCAGCAGCCAGACTGGAGTTAACAGGGTGGGTGTCATGCAGGGCTGGTGCACGAACCTTTTCCTTTGGGTTTTAGGCAGGGAATGTCAGGGGCCCTGGGTGGAGCTGGCAGGGTGGGACAGTGACCCCTCAGCTGTGCTTTGCTCAAATCCTCCTTGGACCTGCAGCTTTTTCTGCCTCTTCCCTTCCCAGGAGGAAAACCCGGTGGCCTCACTGTCCTTGGGAGGGCTCTAAAGAGACTCTGGTGCCTCTGGGCTGAGCCTGCTGGCAGGCTGGGCTGTCACCCACCCATCTGGGAGCAGCAGGGATAAGGGACAATCTCACCAGGAGCCATCTGGTGCAGGCTCTGCATGGCCAGCAGGATCCTGGCTGGGGGCTGGAGATGGAAAAGCAGGATGTGAGCAGCTCCTGCTGCTTTGGGAGGGATGAGTGGCCAGTGCTGGGTGAGCTCAAGGCAAAGAGTTGGGCTAAAGGCAGTGGTGGATTGGAATTGTTGGGGTTGTTAAAGCAAATCCTGGATTCTCCTCACCCAAAAGCAGAATTGCCAGCATTTCCTGGGATCCCAGTGGCTCTGTAAATCAGGAGAGCTGAGCCCATCCTCCTGGAACATCCACAGGCACTCTCCTGAAGAAATCCTAGCTGTGGGCTGGCCAAATTCCAGTTGGAGTCGTTGCCTTTGCCTGGCATTATGAAATCAAAGAGCATTTTTCTGCAAATCTCCTCTTCTCAGTTGTTTATTATCTGGCTGGCAGCATCACATCTCTGCCCATTAATCCATCTCTCCAATTCCTCCAATTCCAGCCTCCTGGAGGGGGTTCAAGCTGCCACCATTTATTATTTGAGTCAGTCTGCCAGGGAAATGTTTGCTCCTTCCCTGAAGCATCGACTCCTTTCTCTCACTGCACCCTTGCTCAGGGCTTGAATGAACCATTTGTGGCTCCCAAACTGAAATTAACTCTGTGAAACCGAGAATTCCCCACATATTTAAATTCTGATTTTACTCCAGTTGCAGCTGAGCTCCCAAATGCTGCCTGCCCTCTTTAAAAGTGCAAATTTGATCATCTCTGCATGGCTGAGGGCTGGTTTGTCCCAAAATATGTTGTGATATTGTTACCTTTGGGGTGCTTTTGTCTCAACCAGAAATTGATTTCTGCCTTAATCTTTTTTGGGGAAGAGTAGGAGGCAGTGATTGGATTTTCCTCACAGGACACAGAGATCCAGAGCAGCAGGATGTGTCCAACATCCAGAAAAAAGTGGGCTTGAGTCACATCCCACCCTCTCACCTTCCCCCCAACACTAATCCCACCTGCTGGGATCATTTTTCCCAGATCAGGTGGAGCAGATGATGGATGGAACATTGAATTAATCCTTCCTTCCTTCATTCCTCACCCTTGTTTACCACACCAACCTCTCTGCTTGGAAATTCAGGATGCTGCCCTGAATTTAGTGCAGATGAAGGAGTTTTGGAAGAGGTGCTGGCCAAAACAGCAGCTCTTGGGATATTTGTGAGCAGCTGTGATGAGTTTTGGTTTTTTTTGCACAGGAACCTCATTTGGGCAGCAATAACTCCGTGTTAGTGAAAACAACAACAGCAGAAGCTGCTTTCTCAATGACTCCTCTCAGGGACCTGCTGCATTTCCCCCTAATTACAATTCAATTTGCAGTGATAAATGGTTTAATAAGCAAAAAATGGGCTTGGCTGTGGTTGGTTATGGCTCTGTGTGCCTTGGGGGATGCTGGGACTCGTGGAAACACAACTTGGAGCTCCCAAAGCTCGGAGCTGCAGTTTTTTGACAGCAGAAAGGAATAAAAAGTTGTTTTACCTGGGTGAGGGAAAGGTAAGTTGGGGGTGCAGCTCCCAAATGTTTTGCTCGGGTGACGTTGGCCTGGAGAGTGGAGGGTGAGCTCTGAGTTTTGGGGGAAAAGAACTTTTTTTGTGGTTTTTGCTGCAAACAACGTTTTGGGCACAGCATCTCTGTGCCTCTCACTGGGCTTGGGGTTTTCCTTTCAAAAATAATTGGGTTTTTTTTATACCTTTCGTGGCTGTGGCTGGGGAATTTCTATTGCAGGCTGCTGGAGGAACACAACATTTTTTTCTGCTGCATTTTTGGATATAAATTTCAAATTCCCCCCTCAAAGTGGGGTAGGTGGTTGGATTTTTTTTATTTTTTTTAAACCAAAACCTAATAGCTTTACACTGCCAGATTTGCAGAAGCCTCCTCCTGTGGAGGCTCAGTTGGTTGGAAGGAAGTTTTCCTTCCAGTGGATAAGGATGGATGAATGGTTTGGCTTCCAGAGTCCTAAAACTGGAAACAAATGGGATAAACTGCAGAGAAATTTCTGTTTGAAAATTCCCATTTTTCCTGTCACTATATTCCCATTTTCCTGTCACACGTGGACAAAGCAGAGTTCGGGGATTTTGATCCACTCCTGAACACCCCTCAAATCTGTCCTGAGGAATCCGTGCCTGGCTCATAAATCCCATCACTTTAAACCCTTAATATTCGAAATCTGCATTTGCCATCCAGGTAAAATCCCCAGGGACAAGGGAATGTGCTGGAAAAAAAAGTGGCTGGAGCCAGATGCTGGGCGTTTTCTGCAGAGCCAGTGATGGGTGATTTGCTGCTGACAGCATGAACTGGTGTTAAGTTATTAAATTGCAGATGAGCTCATCACTTGGCCTCGAACAGGTTTCAGCCTTGAGAGGCTTGAAAATATTGCATGTGGTGGAAAAGAGACAATGCTGGTGTGGCAGAAAGGTTTGGGGAGCAGCTGAGAAAGACATCTGTGCACAAAAAAAATGTGTGTACCAGCAGGGAGGAGGGGATGCTCCATGGGAAAAATGTAAAGTTCTCCCAGGAGAGAGAGGAGGAGAAATTCTCTGATTTATGAGCTGGACGTTTTAATTTTAGCTGAGGAGAAAAGGGTGAAGAGTTTTGAGATGCTTGGAGGGGCAAGATGCTGAGTTTGGTTTGATCAGGGGGTTGTGCCAAGTCCCCAGATTGTGCTGTGGTAGTGCCTGGGGTTTGCCAGAGGTCATGGACCAAACCCAGCTCTTATCTGATGTTTGCTCAGTCCTGATGCTGAGCTTTACCAAACAGGAGTTTCCTTTGAGCATCTCCCTGCACAATTCTTATTTCTCCTTCCTCTTGCAAAGGAGCCCAAGCTCTCCACGCTGAGATTAATTTTTTTTTTTTTTTTAAGTATAATTTGGCAAACCAGAAAACACTTTGGCCGCTTGATTTTCCCAACTGGGCACGTCTGTTCCCAGCAGGCACATGATGGTTTAGGTTTTGTGGCCACTTGGATTTATTGTTCTGAGGCTTTTTTGGTGCTCCCAGGGCAGAGCAGCCTCACACCTGCGTGTTTTTAAACTGCTCAGCTCTTTTTTAACTAAATAACCTGTTTGCAGTCAAGGAGTTGGTGTTAACTCAGGCACTGCTGCGGGGCTGATCCTAAAAATACCAAGGAAAGCCATGGGATAAACGCTTGTCACCTCGTTTGTGGCCTGAGCTGTAATTGCTGTAATGTGAGATCCCTCGGGCTGCTGTGTCTGAAGGCACAGTGCATTTTTTTTTTTTTTTTTAAAGTGTAGATGTTTGTTTTCGACCTGTCTGAAATCACAGAGCATCCTCAGCTACAAGCCCCGTGCCCTCCCGTGGGGATTTTGGGGCTGAGCTCAGGACAAGCTTTAATTTATTGCACGGTGCCGAGGTGTTGTTGGTTCGTGTTGGACAAGAGGAAATTCTTTGTGCTGGGTGCCACCAGCTCCGTGGGAAGTAAAAAAAGAAAAAAGTTCAAAAAGGAATAAAAAGAGTGTTTGGGTATTATATACACAAATATATTTGAGGTAAAAGGAGTACACTGTGTATAACCTTCCCCTCCTCATCCCTCTGCACTGATGTATTTCATACAATGAGTGCCAAAATTCCTCAAATTATTCTGTCCGAGGATTACAAAGCAGCCTTGGAGGGGACCTGGGAGGTCTGGCCCGTCCCTGGGGCAGGATCAGCTCCATCTGAACTTCTCCTGACACCACCTTGTCCAGTCTCCACTGGCAGAGCTTCCACTCCTTCCCAGGACTGGAGGCATCCTGCTGTTCCCTGACTCCAATCCATCCTCCTCTTTCCTCTCTGCAGTTATGGGCTGGTTCTTCCCTCCTTGTGTGCAGAACTCACCCAGTGCTGCTTTTATTCTCCAGTCCCAGTTCTGTGTGATGTTCTCTGGGGTCATCTTGGATTTTCTCCTGTTGGAAGGGTGTTGTTAGCTCAGCAGGTTTAGGAGCTGATCCTGCAGCCCTAAAGCCTCTTTGCAGAGCAGGTGAAGGCCAGGAGTGCAGCTTCCCTCAAGGTGACACAGGCTGTCCCTTCCTTCTCTTGGCCACCAAAACCCCTCCAACATCATTTTTAGTGGGAGCTGCTGGGGAATCATCTCCTCCTCCACCGGTGAGGGCTGATTTTAAGAACCACTTTAGGCTTTTCCCTCCCACCTAATGCTGCTCCTCTGCCCTGTTTCCTGCAGGATTTGGGGATGGAGTCCACCTCTCTGGATGATGTCCTCTATCGTTATGCCAGCTTCCGAAACCTGGTGGATCCCATCACCCACGACCTGATCATCAGCCTGGCAAGATACATCCACTGCCCCAAACCAGTAGGTGCCACGCTCTGGGGCTGTGCTGCCTTGGGGAACTGGGAATGTGGAGCTTCTCCCTGAGTGCCAGGGGAAAAGCATCTCGGTTTTGGGTGGTCTGGACCAAGAGGACCAGGTTTTGCAGCTGAGCAAGTGATGTTTGGCTGATGTTGGTGCTGGTTTTATTTGTGGGTGGTGTTTTTGAGCTCTTGCTGGCAAGGGATCATCCATGGGTGGATGGACCTGCAGGCATCACTCTTGTATTTGCTGCTAATAACAAGTCTTTAATTTCCTGTGAGGGTGTCTGAAGGGATGGAGTCATTCACTGCTGCTTCTCGTGGATGTTTTACTCAGTTATAGCCTCCACCGGTGTTTGAAAAGGAGGGAAATTGCTTTTTTTTTTTTTTAAGTGTGTACAGATTCCTTTTATGTTGGGAGGCAAAGCCACAGAGGTGCTGCTTGGGCTGTGGTGTGAGCGTGACCCTGAAGGGCTTCATAAACCTCTGTGCCCTCAGTAAAAGCTGTTGGGAAGGGTGGAGTGGCTGCAGGGGACACCAGGGACCCAAATCTCCACCTGCAGAGACCAAGGATGGCTATCCCATGTCCTACAGCGTGAGACCAAGGTGGAGCCACACCCCTGTGCTGTGCAGGGATGTCCTTGGATCCCTTTTCCTGGGGAGAACAAAATCCTTTCCTTCCTCCTCCCCCAAGAGCTGGGAAAGTGGAGAAAGTGGAGAAAGTGGAGAAAGCTGCTCTTGTGCTGGGCACGTTTCCAGGAGGAGAGGCCCCGTTCCCCTCTGAGGTTGCCCTTTTCCAGAGCACTGTGACTGAGCTGGTTTCTCCTCCTGAGGGTGAGCCATGGCTGAGGAGAGCTCTGAATTCCCTGTAAAAACACCCTGAGCTGCTGCTCTCCTCCCCCTGCAGGTTTCCTTTGGCACCAAAGGCTGTGGATGGGCAGTGCCAGGGCAAGCAGGGGGATGCCAAGTCCTCCTCATTCCTCTGCTCAGCCCCGTCAGGCACATCTGGACAGCTGTGTCCAGTTCTGGGCTCCTCAGGACAAGAAGAGTTCCAGGAGCAGGGTCAGAGCAGGGGGACAAAGAGGGTGAAGGTGCTGGAGCATCTCTGACAGGGAAAGGCTGAGGGATCTGGGGCTGTTCAGCCTGGACAGGAGATGCTGAGAGGGGACCTCGTCCTCATCCTGGCTGTCCCTGTGTGCAGGGACCCAGCACTGGGACAGGAGGAACAGGCAGGACCTGATGGCCAGGAAGCTCCACCTGTGCAGGTGAGAGCTGGAACAGATTGTCCAGAGGGGAAGTGGATTCCCTTCACTGGAGATACCCCAGAGCTGTCTGGACACAATCCTGTCCATGTGCTGTGGGATGGTGCTGCTGGAAAAGGAAATTTGGCCCTTCCAACCTGACCAGTCTGGGATTCTGTGGTGGCAAATCCCCAAATTAATCAGCCTGTGCAGCACTGGGGCTCTTACTGTGCAGGAGATGCTTTTTGGGTACCCTTGGTGCTCTGCACATCCTTTACACAGCTTGAAGCACCACACCAGGGATGGAGGGATGAAGAGATAAATGGAGGGATGGATAAATGGATGGTGGGATGGATGATGGATGGATGGATGGATGGATGGATGGATAAAGGGATGGATAAATGGAGGGATGAAGAGATTGATGGAGGGATGGATGGATGAATGGGGGGATAAATGGATGGATGATGGATGGAGGGATGGATAAATGGAGGGATGGATGATGGATGGATGTTGCCATGAAGAGACAAACAGGGTTTGTGCAGGTGACAGAGAACAAGTCCAGCAGCAGCAGAGCTGTGCTGCAGCTCCTCAATGGTGCCTTTGCTCAGGTTTGGGTGTCACCAGCTGTGCTTTAAACTCTTTTTTTTTTTTGGCAGCTGAGTGAAAAGTAACTCCATCCCAGTGTCTCACGGTGGTTTCCTGAGGTACTGATGTTCTATAAGTCCCCAGAAAGTTGCATGCTGTAGTCACCAGGGTTATTTTCCACCTTCCAGCCCTCTCTTCCCCCAGCCTTATTTCACTTTGACAGAGGCTTGGCACGATGTGTGTGAGCAGAATGCTCAGGGCCAGGAGTGCTGCAGAAATTTTGGCATTTGCTCTGTATCCTGTGGCACAAATATATATAAATATATATGTTGAGGCAGCTGGGAACTTGTCCTTATCCATCCAGAGCTGACCTGGACCTTGGTCCCTGTTAACTTTCTCTTTTAAATTTGTCCTTGCTCAGGGTTATGGGGTCCTGCTTCCCTCCTCCCTCCTGGAGAGGCTTTCCTGACTCTCTGTACATTGCTTTTTTCACTCAGCTTCTATTTATACCACCCTTAGCTTAAAGGTGACCCCTTGGTCTCTCCTCTGAGCTAAAATAAAAGTTGAATCATTTTTCCAAGCCCTGGGTAAACACAGCCTGAGTCTGTATGGCCAGGAAAAAGTTGGCCTGGGCTCTCCAGCGTGGCTGTGGAGTTCAGGGGATGCTGATTCCAGCCAGCAAATCCAACCCAAAAGCTCCGACTCGTGCTGGAGGAGGCTGGAGTGCTGTGCAGGAGGAATTTGGGAGGTGGAAATGTTTGGGTGAGTTTTGTGTGGGTGTCCAGGCAGTGGAGCACTGCTGGACTGCATCTCCCAGGACCTGCTGAGATCCCAGCCTGGCCCAAGGGTCCAGGGAGCCAAGGAAAAACTCTTGTCCAGATCATTTGGAAGTTAGGAGTTGGATTTGGTCCCATCCCTATTCACAGCTGTGTGTAATGCAGTTCAAACAAACCCTGGAGTGCAGCTCTTGTCACCTTTGGGGCTCCTGAGGCTCAGAAGGGGCAGATTTGCTGTTCAGGAAATTCAGATTGTGCAGGAAGTTTTCCAGCAAGGAAAGGAGGTGTTTGCTTCAGATCAAAGACATCTGAGCAAGTATTTTCTCTCCTGTGTCCAGTTTTTTATCCTCCTGCCTTTCCCCTCATGGAAAAGGTTCCTTGGAGAGCAGCTCAGCTCCAAATCCACTTCCCAAAACCCAGTGCCAGCAATCAGAGCGTGCTGCTGGTGATGTCTGCCTGTCCCCATGGCCAGGAAAAGGGGACAAAACACCCCAGCAAAGCCCTGTGGTGTGGGATGGAGCAGCCAGGATACCCCAAACCTCCTGCAGCTGCCTGGGTTTGCAGAGGGAAGGAGCTGAAAACACAAACTTTGTGCAAGGAGCAAAGGGCCCCCCTGAAAAATTCACAGCTCCCCGTGCCAGCAGGGATAGCTGGCCCTGAACTATTGGAAAATTAAAGCAATTCCTTTTTTTCCACAGCCCAAAGCCACGAGTGTGGATGACTGATGGCTGTGATAGGGAGTGAGTCAGTGAGCTTTGAGGATTTCTTGGGTTTGGGATAAAGGGGGAAAGGGGAAAGTGGAGCCTTGGGCAAGGCTGCTTTGGGGCTGTGCCCTTGTGCTGTTTCACTGCAGCCCCTGGGATGGAGCTGGAAGCTCCTCCAAGCCCTGAAGGCTGCCCAGAGTGAGATTTTGGCTTTGCTGATCCCCACCCTGCTGCTTTCTGCCAGGGCAGGGCTGGCAGAGCAGCTCAGCAAAGCCCCATCCCCAAACCCAGCTTTGCCTGGCTGTTCTCCTGCTGGTGCCTGCAGCTCCTTCCCGGTCTCTGGTGGAAGATGTGATCCTGCTCAAACCCAAGGGGAGTGGATTTGAGCAAATATCTCAATTTGGGAGCTGTGTGCAACAGGGAACATCATCCTCATCTTCCCCACTGCAATTCAGGATAAATGGGGTCAGGAAGAGTTTGTAAAGCTCCTCTCAGCAGCTGGAGAGTGGAAGCAAAGTGGATTTTGTCCTGGCTGGATGGAAGATCTGTTTTCCTGTCATTTGAGCAGTTTCTGTGTGGCCACATCCCTGGCTCCAGTGTCTTTTCCTGCCTGAGCTCTGAACTGATCAGGTTTGCAGGATGGCTTCGATTCCATCCATGAAAACATGGAAAGGAAAGGTGGTTGTGGTGACCTTTAATAATCCATTTCTAACCCTCCTTCAGCCCTGTGGGATAAGGACTTAACTTACAAATGATATTGAGGTTTCTATGCCCTGCATTTTTAAAATGTGTTCTTTCTGTCAGAGCTAAAATGAGCATTTTTATTCTTATTTACCCTCCCTCTGTGCTGTGCCACGTGGCTAAAACTGTATTAATAACCTCAGTTTGTGCAGGATGAAGATAATCAGGGCACCACAACCATCAGCTCAAGGCCTTTATCCCCAATAAATATCCCCATAATCCAGCTCCTCTGCCACGTGTGTTATTCTTTGAGCTGGAATTCAAATTATCATTCCAAGTTCCTGACATCAAATTTGGTTTTCAGCCTCATGAGATGAAGTTATGGGCATGAACAGTGACATGTTGAGGGACAATCCAGCACAGGGTGATCTCTTCAAGCCCAGTGAGATTTTTACCTTTCCCTTTTGCTCTGCAAGGAAAATCCCACACAGCTCTCAGATTCTGAAATGCTATGAGAACATTTATTATTATTTGCTTTCTGCTTTAAGAAACATCCTAAAAGGAGCTGATCTGTGAACAAAACCCCTCTAAACCCCCAAAATATGATATAAAAGCAGAGGGGATGATGAGGATTCAGCTTAATTCTGTATTAATGGCTCTTTCTGGGTCTTTTGTTTTGTTTTGGTTTTTTGCTGGTCTTGCTTCAAGTGTGAAGATCCCTCTGTGGGTATTTAAAAGACATCTGCAATATGTGAAGGTGTCTTGAAGAAGGAAAAAGTCTGGAAAGCTCAGACCCCCCTGAGGGCAGATCTGCTTCTTTGCTGTCTTGGTGTCCTTCTCTCTGCTCTGCAAAACCAGAGATGTTCTTCCCTAAAGCTTTTGTGTGAGAGCTGGAGCTGAGCTGAGTGCCTGGGAAATGGGGGGAAATTGCACTTTGCAGGGGTTTTAAACATGAAATCTAAAAGGGAATAATGGCAAAAGGGATGGGCTGTGATGGTGCCACTGCTGGGAACTCAC